TTCACAGTGGAGTGAGTACACAGTGAATTTTCTGATGCAATTCTGTCATTGCTATGAGCTGCCCTGTGCAGGTCAGATATTCTCCATAGAGAATGAGAGCTAATTGGCGAGTCAAACTGACCTGCTCTCACACACGTTCCAGCACTTACTCACGGAGTGCCATTGTAGGGAATCAGAGCATGACTCCAGTCCCTCCTCTTTGGCAGAGGAAATATGGGAAGCCTTTGGAGCAGAGAAACTAATAATTTAAATGACTAAATACGTTTTAACCAATTTATTTCAGCAACCAACTCTACATTTTTCTTGAAAATAAGAAACCATTCATGTGTCTGTCTTTTAGTGCAACATTAATAGTTCAAAATATCTTTATCAGACATATAAATCATCCAGTCAAATAAATCACGGGATTCTTTGTATCTTTGGCTCCTATCGGCATAGTCGTGTGACTTCAGAATGTCACGCTGTGTAACTGTTATGTTCCTCTCCTAGGAAAGATTGGAATTCTTTGTACTCATTTGTATCTTGGATCTGAAGACAAGACGATCAAAAATGTGCAGAAACAGACGTTTTTGTGTTATTAAAAAATCTGTTGTTTCATTTTATCCATCTCCCTGCACCCAATCATCATGATTCTGCCCCTTCCTAGTTTCCTAGAATGCAGTAACTCAGGATATGATGCAGTTCTGCAGGAATTGTGAGTATTACAACACCTTGCCACAGCAGGCATTCTTCATGTATGAACTTATACAGTTAGCCTAGTGGTCTACTCAGAAATAAGGGCCTTATCCTGTCCACATTTTGCACACACATTGCCAGCAGGCATCACTGGATTCACCATATCCACCATTATAAAGGGAGCATTGGTAGACTGACTAGAGAAGTCTCCATTTAACAACTTGGAAATGCCCAAAGTATGCCTCCATTATGGCCCACTCTCTTGGTGCAGAAGTCTGGTGAGTGTATATCAGGCTCAGATGTTAGGAATTTATTTTTACTTTAATACAAAGTGTGCGAGGCTCAGGATTGGAATTTCGGTGGAGTTTGAAACAGCAGTGCAAGGTGTAGTTCCAATCTAGCAGTGAATAATAATAATAATCCTTGCATTTGATATAGCTCCTTATCACACCATTGAGAAGTCTCAAAGAATATATTGTAAAGTGAATTGACTGTGCTATTTTGTGGGTGAAACAGTTAAGTGCAACATATTGGAGAGAGCAAGAGATGCAAAATTAGAATAGGCATGCAAATGTGCACAGAAGCAAGATGCATGCCCCAGGCAGGGCATAGGCCCGTAAGAGGATATGTGGATAGTCAGTGTGAGGTAATGCAGCATTCTACAATACACACTGCAGCCCACATTGAAGAGCAAATTTCGGAATATGGCCCTTAACCATGAAAAAGCTTGGGTATTTAGGATTTAACAGACTGAGCCAATGTGTGATTTTGTAATAGAAGTAGGACAAATAAAAGAAGCAGTATTTTTAAATAGTTCTTTTACAAACACAGACAAACTAAAATGTCTTTCTACACTGGGTAAGATGATTAATGATCACTTTGGTGAGGCATGTCATAAAACTCTACTTAGGGGTAGCAATGTCACATTTCTTCATGGCTAAAACATGAGATCTGCTCTTGATTAGGTGATAAATCTACAACCTTCTAGTACTTGAGAATTGCTCTCCTGTCCATTGTTACTTGAGTCTGAATTAACTTGTCTGTTTTAGTGGGTGCATTACTCTCACAAGCTGCCCAGTCTAGTCAAGAGACAGCTGTCTTATTCTTTGTAAAATGTTAACATATTAGGTCTAAAACGTTTGCAGTTAGGCCACTTCTGATAGACATATATATGTGTCCAGTTGTTAATTTTCATTGTCCTGGTGTGACATCTTGGGAAGGAAGGTGAGGTTCAGAAAATATATTTTAAATTGTGTTAATTCTAGCTTTTTCATTTTGAAGGCCAGATCATTTCATAACCCAGGCTGCTTTTTGTTTACTTTTTGAACAATTACATTTTCCTGATTGCAGTTTGTAAAATAATAATATGGAATTCTAAAACCACTTTTTGTTCTCAAAGTGGAACAGTTCCTGCAGTAATTTGCATATTTCAGATTTTTCAGAAATCATTGTCAGTTTGGCACAGCTGGTAGGATTCTCACCTCTGGTCCAGAAGGTCATGAATTTGAGCTGCACATTTGGACTTTGCGCTCATAGTCTGACTCTATGCTGACATATCAATGTAGCTCAGCGGGCGGTGGGGGTGGGCACTGCATTGTTGGAGGTGCTGTCTTTTGGATGGGATGGGCTGCAACAAATGATGATGGGAGAGACAAACCTTTTGATTGAACCCATTCTTAATATCTACAATCTGTCATAGTCAGAAGAGTAGAGAATTGGGCAGATTTTGTAGATGGTAAGTAATCTACCTTGTGGATGCCCAAATGCATTTGAATCTAATTTCAACATTGAAAATCTCAGCCTCTGTTCAAGAAATGAACATGGAAATGAAATGTGCACCTATGAAGCAGGGATGTGTCCTCCTATGGAATGGGGTGAGGTAAACACCCATTTATCTTGCTAAATTCTTATCTTATTCTCTGGTACGGATTCCACAATGAGGTGCAATTTGGAGAATAACTATTCCCCTGCCCCCAATATTCTTGTTATGTTGGTATTAAAAATGCCCCCCTTATACTGGGTTTTATTGAAATGTAATGATGATAATTATAATAATAATCTTTGCATTTGTTATCAGGCCTTTCATATCAGGAGAACATTTCAAAGTGCTTCACAGTATTTACTAGAAAGTGTAATAACTGTGTATTTTGTGTGTGATGAACTGTATCTATTGGTAACAAATTTGTGTGGTAACTAAGGCCTCTTTTTTTGTATCTGGATGACAAGAAAAAAGTGAATTGTGCAGCAGTTTAAATAACACTTTTATATGTGGATCTTAGCATTTCAAGAGTTTGAAATACTGGTGCTAATTTGGAGCTGGCGCTTTTCCAATGTCTCTAAATCTCCAGAGACTTCCTGGGGCAAATGACATTCTTACATGTGAACATCTTGGCAAGTCTTCCTACATATCGCAATGATTTCAAGATGTGCGTGCTTGCCCAATATGCCCATAGTTTTTTTTGGACGATGCAATCTACTACTTCAGTATTAGAGTCCAGAAGATGCACAGGTAACTTACCTTCCATTTAAAAAAAAAAATTCCTACAGTTATTTGGCTCGTAGAGAGAGCATGCAGAAAAGTCTAAGGCACTTCTCATGTAATGGCATACAATGACATGAATCCCTCAGCAGAGAGATGCAGTATTTTGCTGGGTGTATTCAACCAGATATTAATCTTTTCACTGCCAGGTCAGATCTGCTCTACATGAAGACCACAGGAATTCTTACTCCAAGTCAGGTCTTGCAAGATTCATGGCAAGAATCAGGAAAATTAGACATTGTGTACAACTGTTTGCCCCTGGAAACAGACTTCTGGAGACAGATTGGTGGTGTAAAAAGGATATAATTGAATGAAATACACTCCAGGTTCCATAGTCAACATACCAGAATCACGTCAAGTACAAATGTAAATGGATTGGACCATAAATACAGTAGCACTAAAAAAGGCAGTACAGCAACATGATGACTTTTTACTGTGTGCTATCTTATTGGTAGGGCACAAATTGTAAGCGCTGACATTTTTTCGAAATAGCTTTAAACATAGATGTTTGAGTTTATAATTGTGTTTGTACAGTATGTTTCCCTTGCAACTTAGTTGAACTGTTTCTGAATTATTTATTTGGACCTACTGTAAATACTGTTGTCTAGGGGTTGTTGAAATTTCAGGACTTTATAAAAGTATTGCACAAAAACATTCTGAGTAAAGGCTAATATCCAAACCTAGAACATGTCTCCATTTATACTGAGATTGACTAGCCTTGTTGTTTTTGGATGTGGAGTAATTATGGCCTTTGCATTCTCAAAGGATTAAGTCTAATCAGATTTTTTTTTAAAAAAACCTTCCCGCTTCATAGCCCTCTGAGTTGGACACCCTGAACTTTAGCACAGAGAGCGGCCTGATAATCTGCCACAAAAGCCACTCAGTGGCATAATACCTCGGTTCGTTTTCTTTTGACTTCAGACATAATTACTTGACTACCAAGTCCAAATATCAGCTGAAACTCAGTTTCAAACTGGATTTCTCATTGGAACTACATTGGAACACGTGGAGTTACTGTGCTCATATCTAATTTCAAGTACCTTTTTTCCATGTGTTGTTTTAATAATAATAATCCTTGCATTTAATATAGCCCCTAACCATGTCTTCGAGATTTCACAAAGCGCTTCACAGAATATACTGTAAAGTGAACTAACTGTATCTTGTGGACGGAGCTCACATTAACTGGCTTTATGTATTAGGTTTTATAGTTTGTACACAGTTTAGTTACAGTGAAGTTCTAAGGTTTGGGATACTTTCACTGAGAGTGAGATTATCAACTAAACTATTTATCCGATCAAATGAGAGAACTGAAGCAAACGGTCACATGAGATTGAGCTTGTTCGTTGTGAGATGTTTTTCAAAAGTGGATTAACAACACTGCTAGACTTTCTCTCGTCTGTGTTATGTGGAAATTTATTTCTTGCCATTTAAAATCGAATCTTGTCAACCTCTTTTTCATATATGTAATGCTCGACTTTTATAACAGAAAATGTTTTGAAGAACCTGCTGGAATGTTTAACTATTGTCTATTTTAAGGCGATGGGGAGAGACAAATTTAAAGTTTCTCAACAATACTGTGCGGAAACCCATCGGCATGCTTATGAGTTTCCACATGTGTCAGACACCTGGCTGACCAAAACAAATGGTCAGACCTACTGTGCTGAGAAACTGAAATTGTTTCCCCCCAAAAAATGTTGCTAATTTGATAGCTTTATGAGTGGAAGGGGAAGATTGATAAAGTACTTATGGACTCGAGTAATTTTCCTATGTGTTTGCTTTTATGCAGGTCCTGTTGTTTTGCTTCACAGCATCCTTGTACATGTTCTTCTTCAGGTAGGTGCAGAACCTCTGCATGCCTCTTTCTCCTTAATTACTGTCTTTGCTGCCCTCTATAGCCTTTTTGGCTCATTGATCTAAAGGTCCCACCGAAAGGGAGGTTTGCTCAAATTTCACTGCAGCCAATGAGAAGCTGAGACAAAAGCTTTTAAGCCTAGACACTCCTTGAAAACCCCCACCCAGGTCACAGAAGTGAGTTTGAATATGTTTGCAAAAGATTTAGGTTGAACCAACCGCATAGAATGGCACCCCGCAACAGCCCATTTTTCTTCTGAACAAAACCATTTGGAGTGCTGTGGTGTACGTACAAGACAAGACACAGTGAAGTACAAGTCGTGGTTCACTAGTGCACCACAAAGGGCACTGAGAGTGGTTATTCTCAAAGAAAAGACAGCATGGAAAGATGCAGCATTGACATTTTTAGAGGATTGCTAATTATTTCTGCTTTGTTTGATCAAACTAATCAGGAACATCATTATAACATTATGACTGCTGCTTATATGTTACACACACTTGAATCGTCCCAAGTGTATAGTATTGAACTATAATGAGTATAGTACAGATTAGTATCCTAGAGAAGGGAATTAAATGCCTATTTAGGAAGAAACCATTAAATTAGTAACTGAGGCCTCTGTGTTGTCAGAAGGAAAATTTTGTTTAAAAAAACTTCAGAATTCTCCGTTTCTTTAACTGGAGGAGTAGATGCAAATCCTTTCAATTTACCTTTAGTAAATCCTGAGATTTTGTTTGAAAATGTATGAGTGGAAAGCAGAATGTAGGTTACCATGACATTTAATCCTTCTTCTGTATTGTATGGGCCCACATTTGATGGGTCTCAATACATCTGGTCTAAATATTGGCCAGTGTAGTGGACGACTGTAATTAAAGTGACAACTAAAAGAAGTAGTAATCCACATCATGGGAAAAGCGTGATTGATTCTGATCTTTCTTTGCAACAAAGTTGGAAATGTCTGTGTGGTGCAGCTATAAGGTTTGGGTGGATTATTTTAGAATGCAATAGGTGGCTCAATAAAATGTGGAATGCCACTTAGTTTTCTAAATTTTAACAGAATTCCTGGAAACCTGAAATGGATTCTTGTTTGAATTTGTTTTTACACCAGTTGTTCTGTTCCTTTACACAGCATAAACTTTTCGATCTTCTCTAGCCATTTTTAGAAACCTTTTGCCCCTCAACAACAAAATAGAAAAATATCAAGAAAAATTAAAACTTCCACGTTTACTCTCTGAAGCAGTTATAAATCAATAGTAAAACTGTTGATAAAAGGAATATTGGTGTGAAAGAAATATGGCTGTAAAGTCAGTGTTTTAATTCATAAAGGTTTAAAAAGCTTAATTGAGTAAAGATTTAAAGGGGAACATCGTGATGGACGAGTTGCAAAATGTGGAGAATGTTCCTGTACATTTCTATGTTTCTATTGTAGTTTGCTTGTCGCATGACAGTTCTGATACAGCATTTAATCCCCACACTGATAGCTTGCAGGAGTCTAGCAAAAATCGACCACATTTACAGAAGAAGAATTAAGCATCTATTAGTTTACCAATTTTAAAAAAGTAGCTGGAAATTTCTAGAGTTTAAAAGAATTCACTTTTCAACTGTGCTCCTAAATAGAGCAACATAATTTTTGTAAACAAAGTTCAGAAAAAATTGAGAAGAGAACCAAGCAGACTTGAAATTCTTTCTCATAGCAAAGAAAATTGGTCACCTCTATCTTTTGTACACTTGCTCGTGGTCAACTAAGCGATTTGACCAAAGAAAAGACTGCTTGGCCACTCACATAACTCAAGAGGAAGAAAAGGTGAAAATAAGCATTGGGCCTGATACCCCCAAAATATTTAGATTTTGTAGAATCTGTTGAGGAACTTCAATAAAGGTATTGGAAACATAATTCATTAACGCAATCAATAATAATATTGTACTTGTAGTTTAGAAAGTTCAGATTAAAGTAATGCTTCTACGTATGTATCTTTGTTATTTCACGCCAAGTGTGAAGAGGTGATGTGACTCTTCCTTAAGGTCTTCCTTGCCTCAAAAATAGCAAACATTTGCCCTGCAGCCTCATCCTCCTGCCCTGTGTGCCCTACCACTACCCCCATTTCGTCCTCCTTCACCCCCCCCCCACCCAGATCCAATCATGGCCCCCATCCTACATTCCTTTGCCCCCATCTCGCCTTTCTCCCTCTCATTCTCCATCACCCTGATGAAACCCACCACCTGCTGCCTTGACTCCCTCCCCACCCAGCTGTTGTTCACTCAGCTCCCCCTCCTGTGCTCACTGTTGGCAGACACCATTAATCAGCCACTCTCCTCAGGAACAGTCCCACTCCCCCTCAAAACAGCCGTTATCACCCCCCCTCCTTAAAAAACCTACCCTTGACCCCTCCAACCTCAGCCACTACCGGCCTATCTCAAGCCTGCCCTTCCTGCCAAAGCTTTTGAACATGTTATTGCCAACCAACTTCGAGCACACCTCTTCCTTCAACTAAAAGCCATATTCTTTGGCTCCCATTGACGTCTTCAATCCTGCTGTTCCGACCTCCTCAGCATACCCTATCTGTTCTTAAAACTCTGAACCCGGTGCGATCCCCAGTTATCCTTCTTCCCCCACATCCGGTTCTTCACCAGGACTGCTTTCCTGCACCTCCACCACTTTGCCCGTCTCCTCCAATAACTCACTCCACAAGCTGCCGAAACCCTTCCCCATGCCTTTGTCACCTTCATCTGCTGGACTACTGAAACGTCCTCCTCGCCGGTCTCACCTGCAATAAACTCCGCACCCTGATTACCCCAGTCCTTGCCAAACTCCACTGATTCCCTGTCACAGAGCGGATCAACTTCAAGGTCCTCAACTGGCTTCGGCCTCCTTCCTGTCCCTCGAATCTTCTGCTCCACCGTCAGCGACCATGCCTTCAGCCACTACACCCCAAATCTATGCAACACCCTCCCTCAATCCCTTCACCTTGCTCCCTCTTTCCCTATTTTCAGGTTGTGCCTGAAGACCTTCCTCTTCAGCCGTGCCTATGGTCACCTTCCCCCTCCCCCGGCTCAGTATCAGGCTCCGCCATTGTTAAGTGCTCTGGGATGCTGACCGGTGTGGAGGGCGCTGTATAAATGCAAGTTGTTGTTTGTTTTTTGCATTAGATTTTTAGCACACCTCTTTTAAACACAATTTGATTGTATTGTAATAGTGAGATACATTCAGATTCAGTTTTGTAACACATATTGGGTCTTTTAACAAATAAATAGCCACGACACTTCCCTATTTGATTTCTTTAGGTAATTATCATATGTTTAATTCTTATCAATTTATTTGCTGGCTCCAGTAATAAATCAAAGTGATAATATAACATTTCAAATCAGTTTTTCATTACAAACAATATAACAATGGAACAGGATGTTAATCACTTTAGTGTGGTGGCTGTCTTTAGTTGAACATAAATTACATGAGAATATTTATGAAAAATTCTTGCAGATTGCTTCCTATACTCGTCAGAGTCCAACTGGTCAGAAAACGGTTGAAGACCATTAATAGTAAAATTACATTCAATGTAGAAAAACACAATAGAAGTGCTTAGTATTGTATTACACAGAAGTGGTTTAGATTCCATTACACTATTCAGCAGGAAAATGAAACTCTTAATAATAATCCTTACATTTGGTATAGGGTCTTTCATGACTGGAGGAAGTCTTAAAGCGCTTCACGGGATATACTATAGAGTGGATTGACTGTGTAGATTGTGAGAGAACAGTGATGATTCCACACAATTCATTAGTTGAAACATTTAATGTCACTTCAATTCCACATTACAAAAAACACCAACATTACTGTTTCCAGTTATTTTGTGCCCAACACACATGCTTTTTAGTTTTGGAAGATTTTAAAAGGAAAACTTTTTGGTGAAGCCAGAAAAGCAAGCATTTTTTCCTTGCCCCACCTCCAAAATAATTTGAAAATACAATATAACAGCAACTACATTGTTAAATGAAATTATGGAATGCAGAGAATATCCAGCAGTGAATTCCGAACCTAATTCTGGGACAGATTTCCCATTAGTTGGTTTGATGATGTTTTTCAGGACATTTCTGAATCGGTAGGAGTCGCTATTTTTACAAACCAAGGAAACAAATTCTGTTTTCAACCCTCGCTGCTTTTCCTCAAGGGTTACAATGACAAATCAAATAATAACCATCCCAATTTTGATTTTAAAAACAACCCACTACTTATAAAAACATATCTGTGGACTGGGTAAGCTGTTAATTGCTATCTCTTGATCTTAATGGTAATTTGAAGTCTGAATGTAGTTTCCACTTTTCTGCTCTTTGGCAGAGCTGGGAACAGATGGGAATTGTTTTCCATGCCCCAGGAAGTGCAGTGCAAAAGCAGAGGAAGCAAGTAAAGCTGTTTCCTTGTGAGTGAATCTATAGGAGTTGAGCTGAAGGGAGTTAACCCAGCAAAGTTCCTTCTGCCAGTAATGCAGAAAATTAATGTCCCCACATTTTGGAAGTTAAATTGCTTTATAGTTTAGATTTTTAGTTGTCAGATCATCAAGGAAATAGAAGAAGATATAAAGGAATCTTTGCTTAATATTTCTAGTTGCTCTAGATATACAGGAGCAACACTATTGTCCTGTTGTTCAAAAAATATGTGAGCTCTGAGTGGAAATCACAGACCAGTTAGCCGGCTTTCTGAAAGAGCTATCCGATTAGGCCCACTTTTCATACTCTTTTTATTCTTTTCAAATATTTTCTAATTCCCTTTTAAAATCTACAGTAGAAAGATCAATAACCACACTAATTTGAAGTTGCCCCATTGTGAAAACAGTGTAGATGATGGGTGTGTATGTGTGTGGGTGTGCATCTCTCTCTCTCTAACTATCTCAGAGTGCTTGTGTGTTTCCTTATCTCTATTTGTTTGTGTGGTGCTTTTTTTCCTCTTTCTCTCCTAAGTTCTCTCTAAATTGTGCTTGCTCTCTGGAAC